TATCCTAAATAGGTCACCTGTTTCTGACATATCTGGGCCTTCTTGGCGGATGCTCGGTACCCTAGGCTCCCAAGAGTCTGGAGGAGGGCTTGAGTGCTCTCCCTACATTCCCCCTGGGTTTTGGCTGCCAAGAGGATGTAGGGCGCGGGGGCAGGCGGGCGGGCAGGGGGCGCGAGGGCCCCGCCGGGGTGGACCAGCTTTGGAGGGAACCGGAGGCCGGACGTGTGGTGGCGGGGGAAGTGGAGGCCAGCGGGGGTGGAGATCGGGGAGGCGCAGGAGCGAGGCATCTGCCGCGCGCCCCATCAGCTGCCGACCGGAGGAGGAGGCAAACTTAAGAGCTAAGGGGCAGGGGTCTTTCACCTTTAAATTTTCCAATTTTGTGGAGTACAAGTTTTCAAAGTATGACCTGAAGATTCTCTGGATTTCCTCAGCATACTTGTTGTGTCCTGCTTTTCATTTCTGAGTTTGTTAATTTGCATGTTCTCTCTCTGTCTTTTGGTTCTTTTGGATAAAAGTATGTCTATCTTGTTGATTTTTCTGGAAGAACCAACTCTTTGTTACATTGACTCTTTGAGTTGTTTTTTGTGTGTCAACTTCCCTCCAGGTTAAGTTTGCTTCTATTTTTTCTAGAGCTTTCAGTTGTGCTGTCTGTCAATTTTCTGGTGTGGCTATTCTCTAGTTTCTTCATGTGAGCACTTAGAACTATGAACTTTCCTCTTAGTACTGCTTTCAAAGTGTTCCATAAGTTTTGGTATGTTGAGTCTTCATTTTCATTGAATCCTAGGAAATCTTTAGCTCCTTTCTTTATTTCTTCTCTGATTCAGGAATGTTACAATTGCTATGTGTTCAATTTTCATGAGTTTGTAGGTTTTCTGCAATTTGTATTGCTGTTGAATTCTAATCTAAGATTAGATCAAGCGTGTTGATCTGATAAGATACAGGGGGTTATTCCAATTTTTTGTACCTGTTGAGGTCTGCTGTGTTGCCAAGTATGTGGTCAATTTTAGAGAAGGTTCCAAGTGGTGTGGAAAAGAAGGTATATTCTTTTGTATTTGGATGGAATGTTCTATAAATGTCTGTTAATCCCAATTGGTTCATAACTTCTGTTAGTTCCTTTGCCACTTTGTTAAGTTTTTGTCTGGTGGTTCTGTCCAGTGGTGAGAGTGGGGTGTTGAAGTCTCCCACTATAACTGTGTGAGGTTTTATTGGTGATTTGAGTTTTATTAATGTTTCTTTTAGGAACTTTGGTGCCTTCGTATTTGGGTCATAGATGTTTAGAATTGAGACTCCTTCCTGATGGATTTTTCCTGTGATGAATATGAAATTACCCTCTGCATCTATTTTGATTGATTTTAGTTTGAAGTCTAATTTGTTAGATACTAGGATAGCAAACCCAGCTCATTTCTTGGGTTCATTTGATTGGAATATCTTATCCCAAGGTAATGTCTGTCTTTGAAGTTGATGTGTGTTTCTTGTGTGCAGCAGAAGGATGGATTATGTCTTCGTATCCACTCTGTTAGCTGTGTCTTTTTTATAGGCGATTTAAGACCATTAATATTGAGGGAAATTAAGGAACATTGAGTGTTTATTCTTGTTTGTTTTTGATATGTTGTTGGTAGTGGTATTGTATGTGGATTTATACTGCTTTTTCTTTTGGCTTTTGGTGAAGTGGGATTATCTATTGCCTATGTATTTGTGAGTGTCATTAACTTCCTTAGGTTGGAGTTTTCCTTCCAGTGCTTTCTGTACGGTTGGATTGGTGTTTATGTATAGTTTAAATCTGTTTTTATTCATGGAATATCTTGTTTTCTCCATTCATCATGACTGAAAGATTTTCTGGGATCCATGGTTTCTTAGTGTTTGTAGAATAACTATCCACGACCTTCTGGCTTTCAGAGTTTCCATAAAGAAGTCAGGTGTAATTCTGATAGGTTTGCCTTTATATGTTACTTGGCCTTTTTCTTTTGCCGCTCTTAATATGCTTTCTTTATTCTGTATGTTTGGTGTTTTAATTATCATGTGATGAGGGGATGTTTTGGGGGTCCACTCCATTTGGTGTCCTGTAGACTTCTTGTACTTTCGTTGGCATGTCTTTTTTTTTTTTTTTTAAGGTTGGAGAAGATTTCCTCTGTGATTTTGTTGGATATGTTTTCTACACCTTTGAGTTGGGTTCACAGTGTCCCATATTTCCTGGATATTTTGTGTTAAGGATTTGTTGGACTTAAGATTTTCTTTGGTACAGGAGACTGCTTCCTGAACATAACACCAGTAGCACAGACACTGAGATCCACAATTAATAAATGGGAGCTCCTGAAACTGGGAGGGCTGATCTCCAAAATTTAAGAAGAACTCAAGCAGCATTATTTGGAATAGCCAGAACCTGGGAACAACCTAGATGCCCCTCTACTGACAAATGGATAGAGAAAATGTGGTACAATTACACAGTGGAGTACTACACAGCAGTAAAAAAATAGGCAATGGAATCTTGATATTCTCAGGCAAATGGATGGAATCAGAAGAAACCATTCTGAGGGAGGAAACCTAGTCACAAAAAGACAGGCATTGTATGTACTCACTCATATGTGGATTTTAGACATAGAGTAAAGGATTACCAGCCTGCAGTCCATGCTGCCAGAGAAGCTGGTAAACAAGGGGGACATACATGGTCCCCTGGAGAAGGAGAAAGGAACAAGATCTCCTGAGCAAATTTGGAGCATGGGACGAGGGGAGAGGGAACAAGGAGAATGAGATGGGGAGAAGAGGAGGGGCGAGGAGGACATGATGGGGCAGGTAGGGTGAGTTGGGGGAATAAAAGAAGAGAGCAAGATGAGAGATAATATAATAGAGGAAGACATGATAGGTTTAAAGAGAAATCAGGCAATAAGGAAATGTCTGGAGATCTACAAAGATGACACCAGCTAACAATCTAACCAACAGAGGAGAGGCTACCCTCTCCTGATGATGAGATTGATGACTGATTCATGTGACATCATATAGCCTTCATTCAACAGCTGGTGGCAGTAGAAGCAGACACCCATAGCTAAACCTTGAACTGAACTGAAATCCAGATGCAGAGAAGGACTGATGAGCAAAGGTGTCCATACCAGGCTGGTGAAACCCACAGAAACAGCTGACCTGAACAAGTGAGAGCTCTTGGTTCCCAGACTGATAGCTGGGAAACCAGCAAGGGACTTATCCAGATCCCCTGAATGTGGGTGTCAGTGAGGAGACCTTGGAAATCTATGGGGCTCCTTGTAGTACATCAGTACTTATCCCTAGCATAGGAAATGGATTTTGGGAAGCCATCCCACATGGAGGGATACTCCCTGAGCTTAGACACAAGGGAGTCGGCCTAGTCCCCATCCCAAAGTTTATGACAGACTTTGAAGACCCCCTACAGAAGGCCTCACCCTCCCTGGGGAGCAGAAAGGGTATGGGATAGGGAGGGTGTTAATCGGGTGGGCAGGGGAGGAGGGGAGGGAGACGGATCTGGGATTGGCATGTAAAATAATCTTCTTTCTAGTTAAAATAAAAAAATTTAAAAAGTAGCAGCCTACTATCCTCGAAGTCAAAGTAGGTAGGAAACAAGAAAGACTGTAAGAGAGACATAGAGGGTTCCTAGGAGAAGGGGAAAGGGACAGGTTCTCCTAAGCTACTGGGGAGCACGGAGGTGTGGAGAGGTATTTTGAAGAAAGAGAAGGGGAGAAGAGGAGGTGAGAGGAGGATATGAGGGAACAGTAAGTTCTAGACAGGGCAAGAATAGAGAGCAAGCAAAGAGATACCATCATAGAGGGAGCCATTATAGATTTAAAGATAATTCTGGCACTAGGGAAATGTCAAGAGATATACAAGGTTGACCCCAACTAACAATCTCTGCAATAGTCATGAGGCCACCTTAAATGCCCTTCTCTGATAATGAGATTGATGATTACCTTATATGCCACCCTAATGCCTTCATCCAGTAGCTGATGGAAGCAGAAGCTGACTCCCACAGCTAAACACTGAGCTGAACTCTGAAATCCAGTTGCAGAGAGGGAGGAGTCATGAGCAAAGGAGTCAGGACCAGAGTGGAGAAACCCACAGGGACAACTGACCTGAACAAGCAGTTCCTCATGGACCACAGACTTATAGCTGAGAAACCAGCACAGGACTGTTCCATACCCCCTGAGTGAGGATGTCAGTTTGGAGGTCTAGGCAATCTCTGGTAGTGGAACAGTATTTATCCCTAGTGTACAAATGGACTTTGGAGCTCATTCCACACAGAGGAAAACTCTCTCAGCCTAGACACACGGTGAAGGGTCTAGGCCCTGCTCCATATGATATGATGGATTTTTGAAGATACCCCATGGAAGACCTCACCCTTCTTGGGGAGCAGAGGAAAGGAGTTGGGATGTGAGTGGGGTTCAGGGGAGGAGGGAAGGGGAAGGAGAGGGAACTGGGATTGATATGCAAAAGAAGCTTGTTTTGATAATAATAAATACATCTATTTCCAAAAAATGGAAAAAATATATAATCAAAAAATATGTTTTTTTTTTTATTTTCTTGTGTCGGAATGGATATTAGAGTGTGTCAGGTGGTTTTCCACAACCAGCATGGAAACTTCATCCATGCAAAATTAAAGTCAGCCAGGTACTTTATGTCCAAAACCAGTTATTTTCTCATAAATATGTGAATTCACATGGGGCATGGTGGCCTATGCTTTTAATCCCAGTACTAAGTTGTCAGTGGCAAGCAGATTCTGTAGGTTCTAGGCCAGCCTGTTCTACAAAGTGACTTCTAGGACAGCCAGGGCTACACAGAGGAGCCTTGTCTTGACAAACCAGAAAATGTATTGTGTGTGTGTGTGTGTGTGTGTGTGAGAGAGAGAGAGAGAGAGAGAGAGAGAGAGAGAGAGAGAGCAAGAAAAAGACAAAGAGAGAAAACTAATAGTGGGCACTTAGCAGATCAGCCTATTCTTGATTCCAAAAAAGTGAAGTGACCCCAAACCCCCTTTCAGCTGGTACTGCCAGAGGAAGCATCTTAAAAGTCTAACTACTTACTTGTCAAATTAATTAAGATGACACAATTAATTGACTAATATATTTTGCTGATAAATCATAATAGTTAATGATATTAAATATTCGGCTGTGCTTTAATTTTTTGTTTTTTTTTTTTTTTTTTTTTTTTTTTTTTTTTTTTTTTGCTAAAAACGGATTCACACTGTGGTGGGATTGGAAGCTGGCACCTCGAAGGAAGCAGTAGATGTTTTGAGGAATTGATGCCTTTCTTTTAAGTGAATTTTTACAGC